CGGCCCCGGCCCGGAGCCACCCCGACACACGTCTCAGCGCCTCGCCCCGAGGCGGCTGGGCTGCCCTCCCTCCCCACTCCGCCGGGGAGGGGGAGCAGCCCAGCACCGCCCTGCCGAGGGCCCCGTGCAAGACTGCGACTGAATCAGATACCCGACAAAGGCTCCCTCCGACCTGGGTCCGGAGCCACTGGGCAGCAGGGATGCACCCCGGCGAGAGAAACCAGTTGCATTGGCATCCTCAGCCAGCCTCCTCCAAAACTGAGGGAGCTTCTTTGTAAGCTTCCTTTTGTCCCGTTTTTAATCTTCTACATGTCATGTCTCCAGCCAGATTGCCTCCAAATTCCCCCTAAACAGAGCTCAGGTCTGGTGGCAGCAAGTGTCCTATCTCTCTGCTCTTCAGCCTGAGGCTTCAGATGCTCCTGAATCTGCAGGAGGCACGCAAGCCCCAAGTCTGGAGGCCTTGGGGCTTGCTTGCCCCCAGTCTCACTTCCCCATAGCCAAAATGCTGAAGGAATAAGCTAGCAGCAGTTCCCAAACTCAGACAGGTTGCACACCACGAGTTTTAAACAATACAGCATGAAGTACCGCCAGCAAATTTTCCAGTTCAACCACCAGCAAATTTTGGTCACTTCAAGTAATTATAACACATCTGTAAATGCGTACCACTGGCAGGTTGTCTGCGCACAGCTGGTGGTACCTGTGCCACAGATTGGGAACTGCTGAAAGCCCAAGAGCAATTGCCCGGCACCATAAAACAGGGTAGGCAAGAAGCTTCCACTGGGAGGCTTTCGTGCACCCTAGCAGGAGTCAGCCTACCCACAGTGCAAGGGACAGGCCTTTACCCTACACCAAGTCATTCAGAGCTCAGGCAAGTGACATTTTTTGCCAGATCTGGCCATAGAAAGCAGTTTATAGCAGTGACCAAACATAAGTACAAGGCTGCAGACAGCTTCAAAAATGGTCAATCTGGTGAAAATCCAACCCCTCGCTGCATGCAGGGTCGGATCAAGACATTTGGAAACACAGTTTTTTGTTTTTTTTTTATAACTTCTGTCTGTACTGCCTGCCAGCCTGTAGCTGTTTTCAGGATGGGGGGGGAAGAAGAGAGCAGAGGAAGTTCGGTCTGGGGGTATTTCACCCCTGCCAGAGTGTGGGACAGGTGTATTGGAGCCCTCTGAGGCTGGGGGGCTCCAGTACACCCACCCCACCCTCTAGAGCAGGCTGGGGAACCCCTAGAATGAGCTCCCTCTGCTCCCTTTCCCCTCTCCTGTCCTGAAACAGACAGGCTGGGCCACTGCCAGGGGAAACCAGGGGCAGGTTGGCAGCCCGCAGCTAGATTCCCCTCCCCCTGGAGCCAACAGTGAACTTCTGTTTGTTCCAGGACATCAGTTGTAACTCAGAAGGCTTCCTGCAAAGCCTTCTCAGTTACAGCTGGGAGCTGCACTTCTGTCTGTACCCACAAGGTGGAGAAAAAGGGTAAGTAAGTAAGTAAGTACTTACTTTATTTGTAACATACTTGTAATATCCCCTGCCAAGTGAGTAAAACCACATGGGCTGAAACTAGCATCATGTTATCTCCCCTGCCACGTGTTATTTGTAGGCAGAGCAAATCAGAAGTCCAGGGACAAATTTAGCCAAAGCTTAAGGATGTTCATAGGCCAACAGGATCACAGCTTGTTGGATGCCTAGGGAGTTAAGGGACAGCCGTAAAAATATAGTTCCACATTACCCAGAGCTCGGGGGATGTTCTGATCTGCTCCACCTCCATGGTAGGTCTCTACAAAGGGCTGTTCCAACCTGGACCAGATTTCAAATTTGTAATGAAATCTGATAAATCCCTATTCTTTCAGAATGACTTGACAACATTTTGCACAGCTTGGAGGAAGACATCTTGCCAACACTTAGTGAGCCTCCTTTCAGCCCTATTCAGCAAATAGGGCTGAATTCATCCATTAATTTGGGCTTCAGAAATTAATTCAGCCCTTGGCATGGAGTTCCTGTGGATTAAAAAAATCCTGCAATTTAAAAAAAAATGCAATTAGAGCTTTATATCATGGATTAAAGAAACTATTACAACCTTGTAACTGTATCTTTTCTAGAGGAACTTTGTGCTAATCTCACAATGTTTAAGTGAAGAGTCATAATACTAAGACTTTTTTAAAACAACTTAGCTACAGAACATAATGAAGTATTATAAATAATTAACATTAAATCACAGCCTTATTACCTGGTGGAACACCTTGTGATGCACAGTCTTTGCTTGTATGCATTTGGTGATTTGGCAGTCATATGCTAGTATAAGTTATTGGTGCAAAATTACTGCAGTTTCACAAAATTTCTTAACCATATGCATATGCTTCACTAATTTAAACAGGAGAATCATGTGTTCGCTACCTATAAAATGATAATTATTTTTAGTAATAATAAATATTACATTTATGCAACAGGTTCCAAAGAGCTTCTCACAGCACAGAGCTTTGTTAGACATATTTACTAAATCGCTAAAAATTATCATGTAAACTTTATGAAAAAATAATACAAGCTTACTATTTACATATAAATTAATCTAGGTGAAAGTTCAGGGACATAACTACTAATTACAATTGAACTTAGTACAATTGACAGACATAACCTTTAAGCAACTATAAGCCTTGATCTTGAACTTGGGGCCAATTTTGCTAAGTGCTGTACAAAGACCAGAAGATGCACTTCATCCAGATAACTTACTATCTAAGTCCTTTATGCTGCCCATTGTGACACAGAGAATTTCATATAGCAGCTGCAGATTTACAATCCAGACACCTCAGCTCCATAGCCAGGCCTCATGT